CCCACTCCCCCTTTAGTATGGGTTCTTTTTCTTAGTCTTTTACAGTAGTGGTCCTATACAGTATTTCTCGTTTTATAACTGACTAATTTCACTGAACATAATGTTCTCAAGGTTCATCCATATTACAAGGTGGCTTGCAACTTCCTTCTTACTGTTCTTCAAGGTAGCATAATATTCCATTTTGTGTGTTCCACAGTTTGTTTTATCTATTCTTCAGTTGATGGACACTTTGGCTTTCTCCATCGTTTTGCTATTGTAAATAGTGTGACTGTGAACATTGGTGTGCATATATCTACTCATATTATGGCTGTTATTTCTCATGGGTAAATGCCAAGTAGAGGAATTGCTGGATCATAAGGTATTTATTTCTATTTCCAACCTTCTGAGGAACCACCATATTGCTTTCCAGAGAGGTTGGACCATTTTGCAATCCCACCAGCAATACAGGAGATTCCCAGTCTTCCCACATCCTCGCCAGCATTTATTGTCCTCTACTTTTTGATCTTTGCTATTATTGCTGGTGTGAGATGATATCTGATTGTTGTTTTGATTTGCATCTCTATAATGGCTAGTGATTGTGAACATTTCTTCATATGTTTGTTGGCTGCCTGGATCGCCTCCTTGGTGAAGTGTCTGTTCATGTCCTGTGCCCATTTTTTAATTGGGTTATTTCTCTTTTTCTTGTAGAGTGTTGTAGTTTCCTATATATTTTAAAAATAAGACCCTTGTCTGATGTGTCATTACAAAAGATTTTTTTCCCATTCTGTGGGTTCCCTTACTTGGTGAAGTCTTTTGATGCATATAAGTTTTTAATTTTTAGTATGTCCTACTCATCTATTTTGTCTACTTTTGTTTGTGTAGTTTTGAAAATGTTTGGTAGTCTGTGTATTCCCTGAAGTAGATTCCTCACATTTATCCCTATTTTTTCATTGATGGCCTTCATAATTCTGGAATTCATATTTAGGTTTTTAATACATCTGAGTTGGTTTTATGTAAGGTGTGAGGTAAAGTTCTTGTTCAATCTTTTGCATATTACTTTCCAGTTTTGCCAGCACCATCTGTTGAAGAGACCATCACCTCCCCATGTAATATATCAGTTTTTGTTTCTCGAAAAATCAGATGGCTGTATTTGTTTTTGTTTGTCGGAAATCAGTTGGCTGTATGTGGATGGGTTAATTTCTGGATTCTCAATTCTGTCCCATTGATCAATGTATCTTTCATTGTATCCGTTCTAAGCTGTATTGACTACTGTAGCTCTGTAATAAATTTTGAAATCAGGTTGTGAGAGGTTTTAAATCTTAGTCTTCTTAATCAGTGCTGTGCTTATCATGAGTCTCTTTCCTTTCCATATAAAGTTCATAATAGTTTTCTATCTCTGTGAAGAATGTCGTTGGAATCTGGATTGGGATCGCATTATATGTGTAAATTGCTTTGGGCAGTATTGATATTTTCACAATGTTTAGTCTTCCTATCTAAGAGCATGGTACATTCTTCCAATTTTGTAGGTGTCTTTTGGTTTCATGTAATAGTGTTTTGTAATTTTCTTTGTATAAGTCCTTTGTTTCTCTGGTTAGGTTTATTCCAAGATATTTCATCTTTTGGGCGGCTATTGCAAATGGTGTTGCTTTCCTAATGTCCTTTTCAATGCTGCCGTTATTGATATAGACGAATCCAACTGATCTTTGCATGTTCATTTTATATCCTGCCACTTTGCTGAATCTTCCAATGAGGTCTAGTAGCTTTTTTACTGAGTGCTTGGGATTTTCGTTGTGTAGAATCTTATTGTCTGCAAATAGGGAGAGTTTTACTTCCTCTTTGCCAATTTGGATGCCTTTAATTTCCATATCTTGCCATATAGCTCTTCGTAAGACTTCTAGCACAATATTGAATAGGAGTGGTGACAAAAGGCGTCCTTGTCTGGTCTCTGTTAGCAGAGGGAAGGCTTTCAGTTTCTCTCCATTGTGAGTAATGTAGGCTGTAGGTTTTGTATATGTGCTCTTAATTATGTTGAGGAATTTCCCTTCAATTCCTACTTTGCTGATTGTTTTTATCTGGAATGGATATTGGATTTTGTCAAATGCCTTTTCTGCATCAATCGATATGATCATGTGGTTCTTTTCT